AAAAAAAAAAAAAAAAAAAGAGAAGAAGAAAGAAGACAGCAGGGTGAAAGGAGGCGAGGAAGGTGAAGAGAAGAGGGAGGTTGGTGAGGGAAAGAGAACCCGGCAGCCATAGCCGACCGGGGAGAGTTGACCAAGCGTTCACCGGCGTTGACCAGGGTTGAGCGGGGGTTGACCGGAGGTGACGAGGGGTTGACTGCAGCATTGACCGGCGTTGACCAAGACCGTTGACCACGAGTTGACCAAGCTGGAGCCGGTAAAATCTCGCCAAGCCTTCAGCCTATCCCTCGCCCTATGGATGTGCACATACCCTGTAGTACTTGCTGAGTCCAGTCTGTTTGTCTCTTCTTTCTGCATCGAGTCTCTTCTGTCTAGGTGATAGTACTCTGTGGATGAAGGATAGGGCCTTGTTGACCAAACCCACACGGGCTGAGTAGGGCTAAAGACTGTGTCTGACGACTCGACTGTCCCGGAGGCCTAACCCTCCCAAGGACCAGTACTGACCGGCGGGCTGCTCAGTGTGGTACGGTAGGCCCAAAATCCGAGCTGTGGGCTGCACAACAGGCTGTCTAAGTGTTGAGAGACCTGCTGATCGCATCGTCCTGTCTGCGATGTTAAATAATTCCTGAGGAGTTACAGGGGATCTCCTTAAATGCCTCCTGATCAGCAACAGGTCTAGTAGTGACAGCCATAGTGTAGGTCTAGGTTAGAGAACCTAGTTGGCAGGATCCCTGCCCGGATTCTGTGAGTCCTTAGATTGAGTCAATAGGTTTGTCAGTCAGGAGTTAGAGTCTACGTGGTGAGGTTTGGAACCATCAATCCGGTTGTGCACTTGTCACCATGGTTGAGACCCGTAGTGGGACGAGCACTAGCCCCTACACTCAGGAGCAACAGGAGAAGATGGCTGCCTTAGTGAGAGAGAATAAGGAGAGGAAAGAGCTCCTGAAACAGGCTAAGCTAAAGGCAATCGCAGAGGAGCAGGCAGCCAAGATGAAGGAATTGGAGGAGGAGATGGAGAAGAAGAAGAAGGCTGCTAAAGAAGAAGCGGCAGCAGAGGCAGAGGAGGAGAGGAAACGTAGAGAGGGAAAGGCGGAGAGCAGTGGCACGAAGGAGGAGGAAGCAAAAATAGAGAAGAAGATCAGTGAGTGGATCGCTAACTTATCGTTGGGGGAAGATGAGGAGGCACAGTTCTATGTGCCACAAGATGAGAGGGATGCATTAGCCGGTGAGCTAGCAGCAATCGAGGCCCTCTGGAACGACAAGAAGTGGAGGAGGAGAAAAAGTTGGAGTGGAAACTGAGGATGAAGAGGGAAAATAAGAGAAGGAGGGATGAAGTTAATAGGTTGACCGCAGAGGTGGCGAAGGTGAGAGATTGCAGGCAGGAGGTGCAGGCTCAGGCAGACACCTCGGCCAAAATGGATAAGATGTTGGGGTACCTGGAGGTGTTGAGTGCGGCTTGGATGGAAGAACGCCAAGCCAACAGGGCTCAAGAGGTAGCCCTGAGTGCCATGCGGTCAGGATTTAGGGATTTTGCACGCGACCTAGTCACCCACGTTGGAGGCGAAGTCAGACGGTTAAGGGACAACGTGGGGAAGTTTTGTGAGGGCGCCATCGAGGGTGCCAAAGTAGTACCCGCCGCTGAGAGCGAGGCCAGACCCCGCAAGGAACCAGTCAAACTCAAGTTCCCTGATGCCTATGGCGGGAAATCTGATGAGAGCTTTGATAACTGGGAGGCTAGCGTAAACAGTTACGTTTACTGACAGCACATCGTACAGGACGATCAGGTCCTGGTTGCCTTCCAAGCCCTCAAGGACGAAGCGGCTAGTTTTGCTAGGTCCCTTGCGCGCGCGGCGGGTTGTGAAAACAACATGGTCGCCTATTCCAAGGTTACCCCCCTCCCTCAATTCTTCAAGCTCCTTAGGGAGCGATTCACTGATCTTCGCAGAGGCGTTAGAGCCTCTGACAAGCTCCAAACCATCTACTCACGACAGTGGAGGAGTGCCAAGGCACTCAAGGCCGTGATGGACGACCTGGTGGCCGTCCCGGACCATGGGGTGACTGAGTCCCAGTTGGTCGAGTTATTTTATCGTGCCATGCCAGAGCCCCTGCGTGGGCACTTCTTTGACAAGTCCCAACAGCCCACCATGACGTACGATGCACTCAGTAGAGAGGTGGTGTTGTTTGAGGCCAAGTCCATGCCAGTTTCCACTTTCTGGCATAAGGACTTAGACAAGGGCAAAAAGGGGAAAGGTCGTACCATCTCTGGCCAAGTCAGGGCCAAGGATCATATGATCCTTACCTTAGAGGAAGGTGGTACAAATGAGGTCCCATACAGTCAAATCGAGTGGGGCCTCGAGGATGAGGACAGTAGCGTGGGGCAGGGGAGGTCCTATGCTGCTGTCGCGGTTGGAGGGAGGCCGCAAGGTAGGGGAGGAGGCCAGGGCCAAAGGAGCCAGGCCATGGGAGGTCGAGGACCGGGTGCACAGGGGGTTGGCGGACAAGGGAACCGCCAAGTGGGAGGTAGGGGTCAAGGTCCCCCACCAAATCGCCAGGGTTCTTGTCGGTCCCCACAACGACGAGGTGGAAGGCCACCTCAAGGAGGATGGCACCCAGGCTTGCCGCAGGGCAGGCCTTAGGAGGATTTGGGCTTGGACCAGCGCGTATGGCAGGAACGCGTGGACCTGGGTCAGTGCGTGTTTTGTGGTAACCCGGCCCATGTAATCAAATTTTGTCCTAAGTATAGACAGGCCCGATGGGCTGCTCAACAGTTAAAAGGAAGCCGCCAGTAGGGGTCGCAACTGCCCCTACTTCAAGGCCATGTGGGGAAGCGAGCGCGCGCGAACAGGAAACTCCCAAACCACATGAGCCTATGGCAGAGGTTGCAGACCCGTGCCTAGCTAGCTGTCCAGAGACTGCTTGTGTTAGCGTCTCTCTAGGCACATCCCTCACAGGTGTGGCAGAAAAGTTGAAGGAGAGGATGCCAGCCTGGGCCAAAATGAAGAAGGAGAGTAAAGGACAACCGATCTTAGTAGATGTAGAAGTGTTTAGAAGCAGAGTAGGGGCCCTTATAGACTCAGGGGCCACCCGCAGTTACATTAGTCGTAGGGCGCTGAAGAAGTTGAGGCTAGGATTAAAAGTCCAAAAGTTGACAGACCCATAGTCAGTGTCCTCGCAGACAACCGCACGATGCGAGTTGAGGACTACGTAGAGGGAGTCCAGGCGTACTTTCGCCTAGAGAAAGATGGGAAGGTGGAGAAAGTTCTCCATTCCATAACTCTCCTCGTTCAGGATGACTTTCCTTTCGACATAGTGTTAGGAATGGATTGGGGACAGGCAGCAGGGGCCACACTCCATTTGAGAGAGCATGAGTGTAGGCTCCCTAGTCCATCAGGCGAGGTTAAGATTGTCCGCCTGTTTCATGTGTCAGGTGTAGACAACACCTGGGCACACTCCTGTCTCAGTGCTCCCGCGTTCGCGCGATTAGGGAATAAGGAGCGATTAGAAGAGCAGGTCTTTGTAGTGTATGTCAGACCTGTCACTGAGCCTAAAGAAGCAGTTAGTTCCACAGATCCAACCATTGCCAAGCTGTTGGAGGAGTTTAAAGACCTAACTGAGTCGCCGACAGGAGTAGTGCCGCGACCTATCCAGCACAGGATAGAGATAGAGCCTGGCAGTAGAACTCCTAAGGGAGCGGTCTACCGAATGTCCCCTAGAGAGTTAGAGGAGCTGCGCAAGCAGTTAGACAAGATCCTCGAGAAAGGTTGGGTCAGGCCCAGTTCGTTTCCTTTTGGAGCACCAGTTTTGTTTGTCCCCAAGAAGGAAGGAGAGTTTCGTATGTGTATAGACTATAGGGGATTGAATGCGATTACTGTGAAGAATGCGGATCTGCTGCCCAGGATAGACGATCTTCTAGATCGGGTGCAGGGTTGCAAGTATTTCTCTAAGATAGATTTGAAGTCCAGATACCATCAGATAGAAGTCCATCTTGATGACCAGTGTAAAACTGCTTTCCGGACTAGATATGGGCACTATGAGTTTATAGTGATGCCCTTTGGACTGACCAACGCGCCAACTACATTTCAGCGTTGTATGAACAATCTGTTTAGACCTTGGTTAGACAAGTTTGTAGTAGTTTATCTATACGATATCTTAGTTTTCAGCAGGACCCTCCAAGAGCATCAGGGTCATTTGAGGCAAGTCTTGGAGAAGCTGAGAGAAGCTAACTTCAAGATTAACGCGAAGAAGTGCGAGTGGGCCAAGACACAAGTCTTGTACTTGGGCCACGTACTAGACGGAGATGGCATTAAGCCCGAGGACAGTAAGATAGCAGCAATTAGAGACTGGCCAACGCCCCGCACGTTGACAGAATTGCAATCGTTCTTAGGCCTAGCCAACTACTACAGGAAGTTCGTAAGGAACTTCTCTACTATCGCCGCTCCCTTACGCAGGATGCTTAAACCACAAGTACATCCGCATCTGATTTAAACGACCCTGAATTTCACTGCGCACCGAGTTTTGCCGAGCCTGGGTGCGGTTGTATTTTCTTTTCTCAC